ACAAAGTCGCCAGTTCTCAGCTTCCAGCTCCCCAGATTGCTCCGCGTCCCGTTCACACTCCCGTTCACTCTCCTCTAGCTCCTCCTCTGCTTCTCTCTTTGCTTCTCGGCGGGGCAATGGCGACCTCTCTGATGGTTTCCGACTGGCCTGAGTCTTTGGGGCTGTGCTTGGATGGCTGTCCTTCTCCGACTGGTCCAAACTCTCTTCTCTCCTCTCCTTTCTCGATGGTCCTCTTCCTCTCCTTCGATGACCTTTCCTGCTTTGGCGCTGCCTCCTCTTTCGCGCAGGCTATGCCGCACCGGTCCCTAGTCACGTCGACGCGAGTCCACAAAGTCGCAGAGCCCGCCCTAGCACCCGCAGTCGTTCCGCTGCAAATGCCAAATACCCTGGCTCGCGGGCGAAGTCCGAGATATGGCAGCACACTCGGAACAACGTGAGGCACACTCCACGCCTGCAGGTGGGAGTGTGACCCCACATAACCTTTGAGCCGGAGCTAACCTCTCCTTTATTTCCGGGGCCGTAAAACCATATACAATACTAAAGCAGCAACCGCCGCTACACATATTACAGTTTACATCATCCTTCCTGACGAGTCCACGCAGGCACGCACGTCAAGAGGTCTTAGGACACTTGCCTTGCTCAACAATAGGTTCGGAAAGGCAGAAAGTATGGTGGTTGCGATTCGATGGGAAGTGTTTCGGTTGGAACACAACGACAAGCTTCTAGATTGTCAGGGTGTTAGGTAGCGCAACTACAAGTATCAGGATTGTGTGAAATACTTGAGCGTTCACGTTCCCAGGCTCTGTTTTTTTTGTCAACTGCTGCCTGGTTTCGACAGCCTGATGGTAATGTTTGAGGATCCGAGCCTCACTGGAGATGAGATCCCAACAGGGAACCTATGAGAATTCAATAGAAGTGAAACAAAGCAGCATGTGACCGACTCTTTTTTAACTGGCAGTACCGTGTGCCAGAATGAAGAAGAGGTATGTTCGCAGCACACGAAGAAGAGGTATTGAATCAAAAGTCCTCATCGTAGCTCAACTCCACCTCTGAATTTGTGGTCCAGCCACTCAAGACAGGTATGACGAACCCAAGGTCAGCACTGGAATGTACAGCTGTCTTACGCCACCTTCCCGCATTCCTCTCACACCCTGACAGGTCCCACAGGTCAATGTCAAAGTGTCTCAAGAGTCCTCCAAAATGCATCTTTGCAGTCCATCAGAAGGTTTCTGCGTTGATAAATGCGTTGGCATACTCTTGACTCTAGCAGAACTCAGCCAGTCTCCCCCACTTGCCTCATCAATACCTTTGATGATGGTACCATCGCCAACCTGTCGCAGCTCTGACTGAAAGTAGCGTCCTTGCTCCTAGTAGCGATGCCCTTTGCTCCTAGTAGCGTCCTTGCTCCTAGTAGTAAGGCCAGGAGCCCCTAGTAGCTTCTCACAACATGTCGGTTTCCACCTGGAATCTGACAGGATTCGGCTCCACTCCAGACATCTGAAGCGAAAGTTGGAATCCAAGTGGAACCACAGAGGAAGTGGAGAAATTTATATACAGTAACAGCTGCCTTCTGCAGAGTTTGTGTTTCAAATGGCCGACCGAAGTAATTGATGGTGTAGCCTGCAACTCAAACCATTTTTGCGCATCAAACAAGCATGTTTCATGTAGAATTGGTCTGGCCTTCCCACGTAAAGACTACAAAGTCTCCAAGTTTGGCAGCTGAAGTCTCATTTCTGGCATCGGCGTTGCAATCGGCGTTCTCAAGATTTCACGGGCGTCGCAGTTGCCAAACCCAAACCACGGTTGAGGTATGTTGATATATATATCTCAAGTTTTGCGCGCACATATGGGGCACGGGGTGCTGACCCACAACCAACACATAGGTCCAGGTATAAGCTGAGAGCAAAAAACAAAAAGATGGCGAGGGATTTATGAGGCTGGTGTGGTCGCAAAGGACAAAATACAATTACGCCAGCACAGACTCAGACCCCAGATAGCAAAGGTTACTATTGAACCATAGCAGCACCACGCTGCAGCGGCACCAGCATCGCAGGCTCCAAAGCGCACAGTGAACCAAGGCATATACTGAATCCCATTTACGGCAAGACTTAGAACGACCAGAAGCAGGTCGGCCCCATGGACAGCCGAAAGCAGCCCTCTTTCAAGCCACGTCTGACATCGAGTTGGTGAAGAGGGCTGGCAGGTGGTCTTCGTCGGCAGTCCAGCGCTACCTGTTCGATGGAGGGGAGCTGAGCGGCCTGTCCAAGAAGATGGTCAACCCCGGCGTGGACCGAGGAGGAAGTGGGCCGCGCATGGGCCATCGAGGCCACAGACACGAAACCAACCACAGGTGTACACCGCCAGGAAAAAGGCCGAGAGTTGCACAGCAAGGCGCACAAAGGTTAACATTTACTGTTCTAGGAGAATGACAATGTAAGCTGCGTCCCTGTAAACAAAGCGCTGATATTGGGAGCAGTCTATCTGAACGATGCACAAAGAGGGACAAGTCAAGGATCCGTCGATTGGTCCATTATCTTTCGCGGCAAGCAACTCCCAAGTTCTGCCTGCCAGGGTTCACGTCTTTAACCTTGGGTTGGAACAGCTGAAGCTGCAAAGATTGCCCACAGGATCAACACAGAGTGTTGCACGCAGCATACATTCAAGCCGATCAAAAGTGCAAGGCACATGCAAAATATACCAGCATACTGTACGCAAGCTGAGTTTTCAGCTTGCAGGCCACTTGGCAAGGCTGTAAAGCCAGGCACCCTGAACTGTGTCCGAGGTTGAGAAAAATTCCCCAAAGCAAATATCTGTGCTTGAATCGAAGCAGCAGCGCCTAGTTCTTTTTTTCCCCAAGCCCCTGCAGAGAAGATCAGCCAAACCACTTATAGCTCAATACAGTCGATTAGCAGTAAAGGCTGGGTCCGCAACGGTTTCAAACCATCTTGCTTTTCGTAGCCCAAGTCACCACCCTATCCAAATGCACTCTCCAAATCCATCTCACTGATTTCAACATTGCATCTGTGAAAGATTCAGAGCTGGTAGCGCCAGATGTGTCACAGCTGCCTCTCCGATGTCCTCCATTGCCCAGCTGGGGCAGCCTTGACTGTCTCAACCCGCAGACTCCGCTGACACTGTCATGTCGGGCCTGCACCAAAAGCCTGAGCTGTGAGTCTTTTGAGTCCATGACATTAAGATCATGTTCTAAAATCGTTCAGACTTGTTAAGGTACATGACTTCTTTGTGTACACGCAGCGGCATCAAAGGAAGCAACAAGCCATCTCAGCATAGTCCTACACACAGTCCGTCAATTAACTTTTGGGAGAGTCTGACAATGGTTCCAAATGAATAAATGAATAAGTAAACAAAACATTAGTAGCGATGGCCTCCAACCTAGTAGCAAACAATGGAAGTCATGGCATATAGTGTATTGCGTTGTCCCTGGTTTTTCCAACCCTGCGCACCTCCTCACACGTGGCGAAACCTCAATCTGAACCTGACCATCACATCTTGCTGGTACATTGGATGTACACACCGAAAATGGAACCATATGCTTGACATGAGCCACTGAGAACGATTGCGCAGGAAAATACGACAAACTCCGGAACATAATTAAGGCAGCTCATGTTTCTGGAGGAGGGTATGGCACTTTGTCAGGCCCTCACAGCTGCTTGTCTGTGTGTCTTTGAGCATCTGGCCAACAGAAAAGGCTTTGTCCCGACTGCCTCGGCCAATTGGCTGTCCTTGAAAAAGATCAATCCACGCCAGGAGGATATTGAAGCTACAACCCTTCGAGACAGAAATACGTTCTTCATTCATGCTGCTACCAGTTTGTTAGAGATGACCCAGACACATCATCGAAAAGTGCCAAGTCACTAGTGCCACACATGCTAGAAGGAGGTTTGCAGATCGCCTCTGCACCCGCCTGTGCCATTACAAGCACTTGGACGCTGCGCCACTCATCGGTCAAACTGAAACAAATTCACGACGGCATGTCTTCCCGCCCCACATGACGGAGTCGAGGGAGGTGCGAAGATGAGTGGTATGTTGCGGTGAGTCGTCTTTGCATCGAAAGGATGGGGCAGGTGCATTGTATGCGCCTTTTAAGAAAGAAAGGACTGCTGAGCAAGATAGGAATGTTGCGAGGGAACCAGAATGCAGAATGTTGTTCGGTCATCCTGCTGCTTGGGAGGGCAGTGGGACGCTTCCCTTCTGAGCGCCTTCAAATAATTTCTCTCATGCGCGGGCAGGTGCTTAGGACCTGGCAACCTCGGCCTGCAAACAAGTGGAACAACAGGCTTGCTGGTCGCGCTAGTCTTTCTTACATCAAGCATCAATCACATAGCACCGTCTTAAGAAGGCAAGTGTGAAGGAGCGTCGCGCCAAGTGGCGCAGTAGTGAGGTATTACCCCCAGCCCTAAACTATGAAGTCTGCGAAGGTCTTCGTACAATCTCAACTTGTCGATTTCACTTGGCTGCTCTCAGCTTGGCCGCTGGAAGTTTAACTTTTAGGGTCCAAAATGCACCAAAAACAATGTTTTCTCAAAAGGGTGAGCATACCAATGCCATCCTGATTCCCAGCCACACACAGATAGGCAATCACGGAAAAGTGCCAAGGTGGAAAGAACGGCCGGCTGCTGATGGACCCCATCAGATATTTTCCATGTCCGCTTGCGTTTGCTTGGGCACAGCTCCGCCACAACAATTTGCTTCAATGTAATTACGTGGGATTGGAATCCGCAAGTATTGACAATATACAGGCAGGGCCCAGGAGAAGATTGCGTGGGTTGAGTCTGTCTGCGTGGATTTCGATTGCGATTTTCCTTAGCCACTCCACGGTCTCTGTAAAGACGCTAGCAACGAGAGCAACAAGACGCTAGCAAGAGATGACAGCAGAGAACCACCACCCGCAGGACAAGCCTCGGTCGCCGACGCATAAAGTCAGGTTTAATGTGTCTGCTCCTGTCGTGGTTTTGCTTGAGCTTTGCGCCATGACTTTGCAAGGCGTCGCTCAGATTCACCCGTGGACCTCAGAAGTGATGGTGAAGATGCTTCCTTTAATTTTTCCCTTCTGCGTCTTCGAAGGGCGAAAGGCGCATTACCGAGTTGGTGGTGTACAACTGGGCGCTCTTCCAGTGTCAGAGGCCAGAAATGATTGACATTCTCCTGGCGGTTGGTTGACAAAAGGAGCCTTCGAAGCCAGAGCAGAATCCATGACAAAGCCGTGGCCTTTGCAGGAAAGGCGAGGGCTTTGCAGGGCCAGGAAGCAAAAAAGACAACAAATCATAAATAGATATATCTACGCTCAGGTCTTTGCTCAGGGCGCGGATCCTTTGCGCCTTGCGGGGGGGGCATGGTGGTGTTTAGAGGGAAGCCGAGCATCGCAGGGCAACTGGAAGAGATCAACTCCGCCTGACGAAAGTTGGGCGTTAGCAGATAGCACAGCAAGACATCGAGCACCTTGCCTGGTACATTGCCTCAAGCAAGGCTTAGCTGACGAATGCGTTTTCTTCAGGGCGTCTCTGCTTGCAACCCTGAGGGTTTTCGTGGCGCTCAAGACACATCGTTTCCTTCCTTCAATCTTCCTACATGTTCCGAGTTGGCTTCTGTTGAGCAGATCCTCTCACAACGCATGATCGAGGGGGCCTGAAGCTTCAGAACACCCAGCGTCGGGAGGAGTCTGGCGAGCTGACAACAAAGATCTGCCCCCCCCTGCAGGAAGAAACTCTTTCAACAAGCCATCTCTCTGTGGGGATTTGATCCCTTGACGTGGCCACGGACTCACTTCTGTCAAAACCGCAACTAGGGTTGAGACTTGGCTTCTGTAGAAGCCAGCTTGACCCCGAAAGGATTTGTTGACGCGCGCCTATTGCAAGACCGGTTCTGCTTTAAAGGGCACGCTGCAAAACATAGCAGTTGCAACTGCAAACCATAGCGCTGCAAAACCGGTTCTACTGTAAACATAGCAGTTGCAACTCCAATTTGGGGTTCGCGTCCGCGACGACAATACCCAATAAAACCAGGGCTAGTAAGCAGCAGGTTGTGACCCGAAGGCCGAACTGCAAATTGAAAGGAATAAGAGCTCTCGGTTCTTTCTTCGGGCGAAAATCAAGGAAGAGATGTTTCCAAAGCGCCCGCTTTGGAACTGTGGCTTTCAAAGCGCCCGCTTTGGAACAGGGTGTGGCCACGCCATGTGCGAATGTAACGGCAAACTTGGCTACTGAGGAAACGATTTCCGGGCTCCCAGGACCTCCTTCAGAAATTGAAAGAATCTCAATCATGTTACTGCCCAGCCTGCCCATGCCGTTGGTTCCCTGAAATATTGATTTTGCAAAACTAAGTTTTTAATTGAAATCTTCGGCAGAAATCTGCACGCCCAAACGTCCGCGCTCGAAGTGCGTTGACAGAAGTCACCCGTGCTGCTGTTGCAGCTGCAAGCCTTGTTGTTACACTTGAAGTTGCGCAGCCCTGCTGGGCTTAGCGGTCAGCTTGCCTAAGGAATCGGCCCTTTGGCAGCTGCCTCAGGGTTACGTTTTCCTCTGCGAGCAATGGCCTTGGGACGATGACGATGGCAGACGTCTGCTTGCCAAGCAACTGCAAAATAAAAGCCCGTTCCTTTGGCACACGGGCGCTAGCCTGCCAAAGGGGACGCTATACAAAACAAGCACTCGTTGGCATGCAGAAAGTGGGAAGTTTGCGTTTGAACCGGCTAGGATGCGGGCCCTGCCACTGCATGAATGCAGGAGGGTCGCTGCTTTGAGATTGATTTCTTTTGGGAACGGGGCAAACCTTTGACAGGCGCAGTGCAAAATCGGCAAAGGAACTGGCCTTGCCACTGCAAGCCCGGGGCTGGTGAGTTGAAACTCATCTTTGCGGAAAGGTTGTGGATGCCAGCGGTCTGTCAAGGACTCAGAGACGTAAGGGCAGATAGCCAGTAAGAAGATCACATACTGCAAGGACTTGCCCCCACAACAGCTCGTCCTTGATCTTGTCTGTTTATGGAGACACCCGTTCAATTTGCTGGGTTGCCTTATAGGATTTTATGTTGAAGTTCAACCTATGAACCTTGCCTTTGATGTTTTATGTCCTGTATGGTCTAAGACATTTTAGTCCCTAACTTTTCTGGGGCTATTTGTTTTAAGATGAGGTGGATGATTGTTTAGGTTGTTATGTTTTATTTTGAGGTTGGGGTTTATAGGTTGTAAGTATGCTGTGGTTATAGGTTGTAAGGTTTTATGGGTTCTTGTTATGTTATGCCCTTTTCCATGTCTGTCTCCTTCTCGTCCGCCTCCGCCCCGTCCGCTCCTCCACCACCTCTTCTTCATCAACTTCCTCGTCAAACAAACAGTCGGGACACTCAGACTGCCTTTTTGACGTGGGCAGATGCTTCAACCAGAGTTGAGAGATTGTTTTTTTTTCTCGGTGATGGGAAGGATTGAACTTGTCATGTGCCTGGTGAGATGTTCATCCATGTCATTGACACATCCGAAGCTTTTTTGTCATCGTCGTATGCTTGACTTCGTGTGTCATTGCTAACCCTTGAACATGTCGGGCGGATACAACGAGACGGAGCAGGTTGAGGAGACCACCTTGATGGGTGATGTTGCGCAGAACGATGAAGCAATCGCAGAGGCACTTCAGCAGGAAGAGCATCAGAACATTGTTCAAGAGGGTGAAGAGAGCGAGGGAGGGGAAACAAACGATGAGAGTGTGAGTCCGATTGACTTGAACCAGCTTTACACCGCTTTGTCATCAGGTGATGAAGACCAAATGAATACCTTGATTGAGGCAATGACCACAGAGATGGAACTGCTTGCGCTGGTTGAGATGGACAACCAGGCAGACCGCCTGAAGCAGTACAAGTCTCTCGTCAAGGAGGCGCTCAAGCAGAAGCATGCGGAAGGGAAGGAGGAACGTGACCGACAGACCAAAGAGAGAAATAGGTTGCTTCAAGCTCAGCGTGTGGAGGAGACGCAACAGCAGAACATCAGCATTGTTGTGAATTTTGAAGGCGTTGCTTACAACATGACGGTCAAGGGCATCTTCACTTTGCGTGACTTGCGTCTTCGCTTGCTGATGATGTTTCCAGACACCTTCACCAATGAGAGCATGGCATCCAGTCTCATCTATGAATACAACGGTCAGGTCATGAACGACCGTGCCCGCGGGACAATGAAAGCGGAGAAGCATGGACAGGGTTTTGAACATGTCTGATGGTGCCATCATCAACATCCGTCGCCAGACCACTGATGAAGTGACACGGGCGAAGGCAAAGGCAAAGGGCAAGAGCAAGGCGGCACCAGCAAAGAGCAAGGCAGCACCGAAGCGTTCTCCATCTTCGGCAAGCACTCAGTGATTTGAAAGAGTGCCCATGTTTCAAGTTTGAGATGGCGATGACGATGAGGTGAATTCTGCCTTGGGTGAAAACCATCGTTGGTGATTAACTGATAGGAATGTCTCTCGTCTGGCACCAGCACCCAGTCCGACCGAAAGGTTGAAAAGAAAATGAGCAGTCTTTCGTGGGAGAATTGGTTGAGTGATTTTTTCACGACGGTCTCATCAATCAGACTGACATGCTCTTTCTTTGTTCTCTTTGGATTTCGGATTGTATCAACTCGGTCATTGACAGACACTCTTGAAGACATGTCATGTTTGACTTTTTCGTGTGAATGAGATTTGTGAGAGCAGGTTGTTGCGATTTTCGCAGGCGGTTTCTTCCACTCAATTCATTCCGACAGTTGGTGTGTCTCCTTCACTCTTGAGACATGTCGTGCTTGACCTTCGTGCGGTGCTCTCCTGCTGATGTGCTGGTCAAACCGTTCTTCATCCAGAGCGGTGATGTTCTTGACCCATTGAACCCTTGGACGCCAAACGATGACGACTTGCTCAAACTGACTGTCAATCAGTTGAAGTCATTGATGACGGAAGAGGCACTGACCGAGTTCAAACCAGTCAAGAAGGAGGACTACGTGACGGTGGTCATCAACACTTGGGACGACACCATCAGCTCAAAGAGCGCGTCAATGCCTACGCCCCTTGGCACTTCAGGAGGGGGCGATGGTGAGAAGTTGCCTTCTCACGGTGGCGATGCAGGTGGTTCTGATAGGGATGCTGGGGATGAACCAGACGGTTCAGACGGCGGTGGTTCGGGGGATGATGGTTTTGGGGACTTCTCCGATGATGACAACACAATCACCGTGCATGTAGATGTTCGTGCCATGTTCAACACCCGCATGAACCCCTCCTTCCATGTGAAGACCTCTTGGGCGGTTCGC